GAAAGGAAAAATTATTGAACTGTAAGGAAAAACTAATAACCACAAAATTTTTCCCTATGCCGGGGGCGCTTACCCCCCCCCCCCCACACCCCCCCTTTAGCCACGGCACTGCTCGTAAATATGATGCGACTGCTTCCATTTGATGTATTTCGCAATGAAAAAAAGACGTTTATTTCGTGCACTTTTTTCGATTTTTAAGGGCATAAATTCATTGGATGAAAATTTAGGATTTCTACAAGGACCAAATGCGATTGCATTTCCTGTTTTCTTTTTTTAATGATCCATTATAGTTACTGAGATATTCACTATTCTACACTGTAAAAAGCGCCCTCTATAGCGCAGAATAGTGAATATCTCGGTAACTGTAGCAGATCATAAAAGAAAGAAAAACAGGAAACGAAATCTCCTTTGGTCCTTGTTGAAAATTCAAACTTTCATCGAATGAATTTGTATTCGCAAAAATCTCAGGAAATCTGGTAATGGGTCGATGAATCATCGCGCCTTGTAAATGCATCAATTGGATGAAAAGCTTTATATATTTTTGACACTTACTACACACCAAAATCAAGACGCTACCTGATAATAAATATCCCAAACACAGAAAAAACATCAAGCATCGTCCAATGCAACTCATGAAGGAACTATCCTGGCTCAGTGTTTCTAATGATTGGCGGTTGCAAAGTGGTTTTGCAGTTTGAAAACTATAGGTTTTCACTCTGTTTTTAGCAGGGAAAACATGGAAAATGTAGTGGTAAACTGTGGAACACCGCTTTGCTCAAAATTCTCATTAGAAACACTGTCCCGACTGACCAAAGGCTTTTTGAATAAAAGACATGTAGCCATAGATAATCGATGGAGCTGATTCCGAATATGGCGATGAGAGCGGCTGTTAGACCTTCGAAGACCGATTTCTAGAAATCTGACTATGGGATATGTTATGGCAGAGGTATGAGCAAGCGAATATGAGTTATTAGCCAATCACTGTGGATGCGGAAATTTTCATGAATTCACTTTGAAATCTAAAAATCGTTCTAATGAGGTTATATAATAGTATAAAACTTCACACGCATCAACTCTCTCATCTTCTGCTGGGGTCGTATTAGAAAAAAACTTAAATCGTAATTTAAGTCTAATTTTAAGACCTATTTAAGTCTGGGGCTTACACCGTATTACGAAAAGATCCACGATTTAGAGTTAAGACTAACTTAAGACTTTTCGTAATACGAGCCCCTGTTTCTGTTTCAAGTCGAAAAAATTTCGTAATCTACGCGGATGGACTAAAACCCATATTCGCTTAGACGGCATGGCTTAGTGGTAACGTCGTTCATCGCATACTGCAAACGTACTGTGTTCGAACCTCGGCGCTGGCACGTCATGTAATACCTTTGAATAAGTTACTTATATGTTAGTGTCTCATCTGTCCAACATACTCACTACGTTGTGACGTACAGCTCAGGTTAGTTCACGTAGCTCTCCGGAACGCTAGTACATGTTTTGTGAGTATGTATGAGACGCTCATGTAAATGAACGAAAAGAACTCTACATCAGGCTAGCCTTTCGTTGGAACTGTAGTGGATGACTAGAGGGTGGCGATGTGGGTGATCATATCAGAAGCTTGTCAACATATCGGGCTATTGAAACTGCCATTCCACAGCATCCTTCACTGATAAGCACAAGGCGGGTATTCTTCCTTCTGCTTTCATATTCGCCTGCTCATACCTCGGCCATAACATGTCCCATAGTCAAGAAAACTTAAATTCATGCGTATTCGGCAAGGTCAAAAACTGGTTTTTAGAAAAAACGTTTTTTGTCGAATAAGATTTCTAGAAATCGGTCTTCGAAGGTCTAACAGCCGTTCTCATTGTCATATTCCGAATCAACACCATCGACTATGTATGGCTATATGTCTTTTATTCAAAAAGCCTTTGGTCAGTTGGGGTAGTTCGCTCGCGAGTCGTCAATTCACTGATCGATGTATCTAGATGTAGATAAATGTTTCTCTCATTGCAGCTTGATAACATTGTCCATAAATTGACATTTGTATCGAGTTAAATTTGACGGATCCAGTAGTATCGGGCTATACAGCGAGTAGTGCGGCTGGCTAACTCGATGATTCAATAAGGGGCAATTGCTCCCACCCCCTTCCAATAAAAATTTGTCCTTTCTGCACTGACTAGAGAAGAACGATTTAAAAAAAGAAGTAACACTTGCTTGTCATCAAGAAAAAGAAGAAGTATATCTGCTGTTCAGTGCCATCTTTTAACATTCATTTTCCTGTACTTCTACTCGAGCACCAATGAAAGAACATGATGATATGTCTTAAAAGTTCGGAAAAACTGCGTGAAAATGGCTCAAAATCAGATCTTCTTTTCCCATCGAAACATTGAAAAAAAAATTATTGTCCCCTCAAAGTGTTTGGATTTGCACCGCCACTGCGATGATTTGCATGGAGCAGCTAGATAAAAGAGTAAAAATAGAGACCGATACGTCACTTAAAATATTTAGATAGTTTAACAGGAATACTTTTACTTGAGATTACCTTACTGCCTAGTTTTCTATGTCGTTTGGTCTCGCTGAACGTATTGTTAGTGATTAAAAGTTTGAATACCTATGCCAGCTAACGCTCAATTTTACGTTTTAGATTAAAAAAGTCATTAAAACTTCATTAAAAAAGATCGTGTAGTAGAAAAGACGAAAAAATGTTTTATGTTTATGCGTTTTTAGATCAAGGTTTTTCAGAACGAATGACTAACGAACGTCGATTAAATCTCTTACAAGTGTTACCGATTATCGATTTACAACAATTACTTACATTTGCTAATTCGTCTCGTTCTGGAAAACGTCATGAACTCATTGAACGTTGTGCACAAATATTAAAATCAACACCAGTGGATCATACTCCATTTCGAGATAAAATAGATGAACTGTACAATAAACGTTTTGAACAAGGTGATATGGTCACTATTCCTTATTCAAGAGATCAAAATCAAACTCGATTACATAATCAAATTGGTAAGGGAAAAAGTTTAAACGTTAAATGAAAAAATATTTTTTTTTTTTTCATGTCTGAGGCTCAAACACATCCGCGGGTCAAATTGATCGTGATATTAGATTTTCTAAATTTACCTTCAATGAAGATCTATGTCAAGTTTCACCGTGTATTCAAATATTACCGACAAATCAATTACAACAATCATCGTCTCATTCGACTAAACAGACTCATGTTTCATTCTATTTTATTCTAAATGTCCAACAAGCATCCGATGTATCAACGTCGACCTACTTCAATACTGATTCACAACGTCTCGAATATCGAAAACAAATTCTTTTACGTTTTACAACCGTAGAAAAGGGTTACACAGGTGAACAGCCAGATAAATTACCGCCCAATTTATATGTACTGGTGAATGGAAGAGTAGTCACATTGCCCCTACCGAAACCTACATCGAAACCAAATGCGGATGTTGTCAGACCGGGTAAATACTCTACACTCTATTAGACTGTGTTAAGCCTTGATGTCTAGCAACGTTATGGAGCAACGAAAGTAGACTTGATTCTTGTTAAATTTGCGATTTTCTAAAACTGGTATTATAGAAAACATATAGTTTTTCATACTTAAATCTTATGTTTTGTTTATTTAGGCCGTCCAATTGATATTACTGAATATTGTCGTTTATGTCCTCTAATATCAAATCTCGTTGAAATATCTTGGTTTGGTCAAGATACTTCACAATCTTACGGCACATTTGTCGCTGTCGTTTTTATAACACAACGTATGACTGTTAATAATTTAATCTCACGTCTAAATAAACAATCGACCCGTGATGCATCAGATACACAGAGACAAATTATTCAAACATTGCAAGTTGGTTCCGATGATCCCGAAGTTGCATCAACATCACTTCGTCTACCATTAGAATGTCCAACAATTCGAGTACGGATGAAAATGCCTGGACGAGCAACATCTTGCAAGCATGTGCATTGTTTTGATATCGGTAGAAGAAAGAAACTTGTCACCTAGTTAAAATAAGACTTATAAACTTTCTATTTAGATGCTTACTTAAAGATGAATGAAAAACGTCCAACATGGTTATGTCCCGTTTGTAACAAACCGGCATTGTATCAAGACTTGTTTGTTGATCAATTTTTCGTCGATATTATTGAACAATGTCCGATACAAGCAAAGTGGATCGAATATGATGTCAACGGTCAATGGAAGCCAATATGTGAAGAGAAAAAAACGAGGGGAGGTGGAGGGATAAGTAAATCCGGAATGGATACATCAAAACATACAAATGGAACAACGAAGATGAATGGTGGTGATAAAACTGTGGAGTTGTGTGAATGTACTTCCAATTCACAATCAGATAATGACGACGACACTAACGGAAGAATAAGTATGTAGTTGAACACTATACCTCATTTATTATTTAAAGCTAATATTTTGGTAAACTTCAGTTCTGGGGGCGATAATATGTTTTCGAGGATCGAGATATTCTATAACTAGAACGTCGACCATCAAGCATTACTTTCACTTAGTTTAATGTTGACGATAGCGACTAGTTTTAGTAAAGATTTTAATGTAGAATATTTTAGTCGTTTTCGAGTCATACTTTTATGTGGAATGAAGTCTGCCAGGGGTGACAGGGGTGTACTCTATTAACGTTTGTGTAGCAAACGACTTTTTATCTTTCCATGTGTATCCTGTTTACAAGAGGATCCTCTATTACTTTATATATTTTCTTTCATTATCTTGTAGAATCAACCGACGTATCATCACATTCCAAACAACATCAGCAGCCACAGGATATTCCATTGATTGAACTGGACGATGATTGAGCTTTTACTTTCTAATTTGTGAATTTTTTATGACTTAAATTACAAATGAACACAAAAGATTCGTTTTGTATATGAAATAAGTAATGTCTTTTTTCTCAGTGTCTAGACTCTTGTTAGTCATATTCTTCAATATAAAGGTTTAAATTCCTTTCTACAATAGTATATTTGGTGATAAATGAACGAGTATACTTCGACTGTACCTATTTTGATTTTATCAGAAAAAATCGAAGAAGTTCTAACTTAAGAATATAACCGATTATAGTTATATATTCTTCTCGATTCTTGGAACATTATTGAACAAAACTCTGTACGATCGTAGAAGTTTTTGTAAAACACTATAACTTCCTGTATGTATGCTTTACAGATGAAAAAGTATTCTTGCATTTTCAAAAGAATCTATCAAAATTTTTATGTTTACAATTAATTAACGATGACCATGATGTAAATTTATTTTGAAAATGTAAAATTGAAAAGGATTTTATATTTATAATGAGTGAAAGCAAAATACATCATAATGAAATGAAGTACGCTAACGCGAAGATTGTGCCAGAGAATCCTTTTATAGACAAACAGATATTCACATACCTACGATAACCATTCACTAAACTAAATGTTCAAGAATAAATCGTACTCTAAACAAACGCATCATCTTCCTCAAACAACTGAATGGACCGAACTGTTGAGATTGTTAGTTGCATTTTGTAGAAAAATGTTTGAAAGAAAACCGTTTTCTAACTTAACTTGAACCATATTCTCAATCCAACTTTTATAAATCAAAAGAATGCAATGTTTTGACTTAATTCTTCAGTTTTGACTTTATTTGCAGAAATAGCATTAAAAAGTGGCTATTAAGGACGAGAAACGATTTCTGCTAGAAAATCGTCGAATATGATTTTGAGTGAAAATGATCAGAAATGCTTCGATTTCCACTTTTCAACACTTCAGACTTTCAAAAGAGAATTTTCTGGGCTTTAAAACGAACTACAATATTTTGTTTTAAAAGTTTGCTCTCATAGATTTATTGGCTAAATATTGGACAGATATCTCGATTTTTACCTATAGTGATATATAAAAATAATCACCGTTTCTTCCACAAATAGAAATTAGGAATAGTTTGTATTTAGAAAAATGTAGAATGGAAAGGGCTACCAAATAAGCTATAGTAGTGCATTGTTTCAAATCTTAAATTTAATAGACTGATTGACAAAATGCCGAACGGATAGAAAACTGGAAAAATCTACAAAAAAACAGCAGACATGTCTCTGGGGGGGCTTTTCGTAAATATAATGCAGCTAAATGGAAAAATGTTATGGAGAACTCGGAGAAGTCTTATTTTAAATTTTTATCTTAAATTTTTTGTATACGCCTCATCGGATAGAAAAATGTTTCAGCTGCTCAAAGCTTCTTTAGTATTCTTTTAGCTGTCGTAGTTGACGAAAAACGTCAGAAAAAGAAAAGACTCAAACTTTTGTCACGTACTTTAAGCAACACAATCATCATACGTATATAGTACTTAGTGTAGAAATGTATGAAGGCATACGTTTACAAAAATCTAATGTATTTCAGTTTGAAGTTTGTTATTTTCTGCATTTGCTTGTATGAAAGTCGTTTGGGTCTCCCTATATTTAAACCCTTGTATTTTATGTACTGTCCTGCCACAGGTTAAATCCACTGTATCCGTTCAGTATTTTGCCAATCAGTCTATTCAACTTAAGCTTTGAAACAACGCACTATAGCTTCTTTTATAGCCGATTAAATTCTGCATTTTCCTAAATACAAACTATTTCTAATTTCTATTTGTGAAGAAACAGTGATTATTTTTATGGGTAAAAATCGAGGTATCTATCCAATATTTAGCCAATAAATCTATGAGAGCAAACTTTTAAAACAAAATATTGTAGTTCATTTTAAAGCCCAGAAAATTCACTGCCTGTTGATATATAAAACATTCCGGTTCTGAGCAGATATGTGGAAGAAATATTCTTTAAAGCCTTAGGACAGGTAAAAAAAGTCATGATACTGTCGAGTATTTCGACAATTGTCCTATATGGGCATATTTTTAAGAAGCTTGTCAATAACTCGTTCTGAAGCGTGGAAAATTCTCTATCTTTCTATGTATGAGCTTTGGTCAAAGTCTGTGAAGTCGTACGAAAAAATTGAGAAACAATGCGGATGACCTTCGTTGAACTGATGCCGAAAAATGGTAAGAAATAATTTTTTCAAGGAGATCAGAAGCAATTTTTGAAAGTCAGAAGTGTTGGCAAGTAAAAAGGGACGCATTTCTGGTCATTTTCACTCAAAATCATATTGAACCGTTTTCTAGCAGAAACCGTTTCCCCTGCTTTTGTCTTTAAAGTGTAAGAGCGACAGAATTTTGATGAGTCTTAAAAGAATGTTCCAGGATCTTTCCGGGGCAGATATAAGAAGCTCAAAAACCAGTATAGTTTCTTCCATTGTAAACAAAGAAAAAGCTTTTTAGAAAATGCTAAGAGTTGGTCGCTGTTTTGAAGTGGCAGAATACGAGGATCAGAGTATTAAATAGGAATCATCGAGGATCACACATAAGGGGTTTGTAGAGATCAAACGTATTTCTATATACCATATTACAGATATTTAGTACTGCACTAAATCTGAACGAGTAAGTGAAAAAAATGGTAGACTTATTTTTGAGTTCATTTAAATGGTTTCAGACTGACATGAATTCCAAACAATCGATGGCATTTATTTTCTCCATTCGTTAGAGGCCCGGGTGGTGTAGTGGTTATCACGTCTGCTTCACACGCAGAAGGTCCCGAGTTCAAACCTCGGCCCAGGCTCTTTTTAGTTGTGTGGGAAGGCGGACAATAAAAGATTTTCCTCTATCCATTAGTAAGCGTGCAATATTCTAATTAAGAACTAGAGAGCAATTGCGATGCGCATAAGTTGCGATGTCGACAGACTGTATCCGACGAAATTTGAAGGAGAATTGTTTTCGTGTGAAGACCGGACAACTGAAATTTTTCGAATTTGTGATGTACTAGAACGGAAGTGGATTGAGTTAATTCGCTACAATTATTTAGTTTAATTAGAAATTTCTTTTTATTCCTCTGCGATTTTGACATCATTCTCGCTGTTTTTATTATGTTTGCTTGTTGAAACTGTTCTGAATACAATTTCTATAGATATGAGCGAAGTAGGACTAAATTGGCGACTTCTTAACCCTATGACCATCCTCGATGGAGCCAAGAAATGCGCTCCACCCTTCCGATCTATACTTATAAATCGCCTTTCCCCTTCCTCATCCATAAAATATCGAAGATTAATATTATCGGTTTCGATATTATCGAGATCAATAGTATCTAAATCAATATTATTGTATTGTTGGATGCCTACATCCAATTGTTTATGCAAGAATAAAGAAAGATTATCGTTTTATTGTTGGTGAATTAGAGAAGTACGGCTTGTTCAGCTAACAGTCTCCTTTTATCGCTCTTTTTCAAAAAATTATTCCAGTAAAGCTACAAACTAATCTAAAATTGCAACTACATAATTAAGTACATTAAACACTTCTCTACAAAATGAAAAGTGTCTTGGCTCTGAATATTGATTAGTTATGGAAATACAGCTGTCGTACAAACAGCCCCAAAAATCGATTTTGGAGCTATCTGCAAAACGTGTCTAAAAGACTGAAGACGAGCAGGCAAAAATTCAACAAGTATACCAGTTTGTATACCAGTGTTGTAGAATGACCAAGAATGCATAAAATAGTCGGTCTAGGCTTAAATCAGGACGACTGGACCAATTAAGTTGCTATTTGGGATATGAGGGTTGGGAGACTTGCTCTTTTTAGGTAGCATATCG